TCAAATAAATAAATATTAAAAACATAAAATAAAATATAATTCAATCTCTTTAATATGTCACCATGTCACCTCTTCTGTCACTATATTGACATCAGAGATGAAAAGTAAATTTGGTTTGTGAGGGCTTGAGAATGGGAGTGGGATGGGGTGAAAGAAGTCTTATATTTTTATTTTTTTTTAAATCATCAATTTGTTACTATTTCATTTCAGTTCAACAAAAGTCGCTTTGATATTGAATAAATCTAGAACACAGGTTTACAGAGATGGTGAGTACCTAGGCCTTGACTTCATAATGAACAAAGGGCTAGACAGGAACCATGAGACAAGTCCAGTGATAGTTATAATACACGGAATATGATAGACCTATGAGAGAAAGAGTAAATGGGATGTTTTAAGAACACAGACAACAGCAATCATCATTCAGTTGGGAAGTGCTGAACAAGCTTCATGGAAGTAAGACAGCATAGAGTGTCAAACTGGGGAGGGGGAGGCAGCAAAAGCTCCAGTTTGCCTGAATGACAGATTAAATATTGGGGACCATAATTTTGTGTGTGTCACTCTTTTCCCCTTCAGAGATAGTGACAACAGCAGTGGCCCCTTCTGCAAATAAGATGAAGTCCAGGTTCCTCAATTTCTGATTCTTTACTAGCCAGTTATATCACCTTCTTTCTGTTCTCCAATGAAAATAAATGTCCAAGTTTGGAAACACAGATTCAAATTCTAATTCTACCGCTCACTAGCTCAGTGACATTAGATGGTTTGACTTCTCTGAGACAATTTATATTTCTTTTTCTCTGACATACATAAAATAATAAAAGTAATTATTGCATAAGGTTATGGCAAAGGTTAAATAAATTCATAGTGTGTGTAAGTGTAGAAAAACTGACATCCCTTATTATAGCAAAGAGGCAAGGTAAGGAACCAGGAAATTGAACTTTTGTTTGAATATGCTGGTTAAAAGCTGTGTGACTCACAAAAATTGTTTAACCTCTCTGGGTCCCAATTTTCCTATCTGCAAAATTAGGGGATTGACCTAGATGATCTGTATCCCTTCTAAATTTGTTGAAAGGTATAAATCTGGTGACATATATGCTATAGGTTACATTTTTATTTGATATTGATATAGCACCATGCAATTGGATCAAATTGCCATCATTGAGCCTATAGTGCATTGAAATTTTATTAAAATGATGAAAATGAAGCCCATTAGGATGGGGCAATGATTTCAAGTAGATACAGAAAGAGCAGTGATAGATAAGGTCCTATTATCATTCCTGGATGCCAGGGAAAATGGATGGTAAAGAGTTTTAAATTCAGGTGCCAAGCTGAAAGCTGTATGCTTTTGTAAAAAGAAAGAAACAAACAAGAATTAGAAATCATGAGCACCCTAATTTCAGTATTGGTTTTCCTGACAATTTAAGGGCCTCAGTCTTCCCACGACAGGGAAAACTGTGCCTAACTGTATCATATTCACTATGTAGAAGGTAACAAGGTATACTGATAATGTTAAAAAATATGCAGTAGTTTAGCTAAACAAAGAGCATAAAGAACAAAACTCTGAGATGGTACCCTGAGATGAATGACAGATCTGAACCAGCTTTCACGCTCATTCTGATATACACTAAAATAGTATTGGAATAGAAGAGAGGTAAGCAGAATCTAAGAAATGAAGTATCTCACCATTATTTTTTGCTTAAACTACCATGAAGTTTTGCTTTCATTCCTACAAAATGTACAAAAGAATATTGATGGTATGTCTAAATACATCAACAGTACAAAATAATCATCTATTTTAGGTATCTCTGTTTAATTCCAGTATTAAAAGTAAATACATCAGCATATTTATAACTGATGTGATAACATCTGTAGAGGCCATATTCTCATAAGAAATAATGCTAAGAAATCTATGGTTCATGGACCTGCATGAATCTAAGATGTCAGCATAAAGTTTGGGATAATGAGTATGTGATTTATTTTTTTAAATATTTATTGATTTATTTGAAAGTCAGAGTTACACAGAGAGAGAAGGAGAGGCAGAGAGAGAGAGGTTTTCCATCTGATGGTTCACTCCCCAGTTGGCCACAATGGCCGGAGCTGCGCCGATCCGAAGCCAGGAGCCAGGAGCTTCTTCCCAGTATCCCTTGCGGGTGCAGGGGCCCAAGAGCTTATGCCATCTTGTACTGCTTTCTCAGGCCATAGCAGAGAGCTGGATCGAAAGTGCAGCAGCTGGGTCTTGAACCAGCACCCATATGGGACGCCGGAGCTTCAGGCCAGGTGTTAACCCACTGTGCCACAATGCCGGCCCCGAGTATGTGACTTATTAGAAATTTTGGGCTATGTTCTGGTCCTAAATAATTGGTTAGTCAAATTTTTCGCTGGTTTTTTGATCTCTGATAAGTGAAATGCATTACAGTCCAGAACTGCAAGAAACATAATAAAATATGATTTTTAAAAAGAAGAAAATAGGGGCCTGAGCTGTGGTGTAGCAGGTAAAGCCACCGCATGCAGTGCCAGCATCCCATATGGGTGCCGGTTCAAGTCTCGGCTGTTCCACTTCCAATCCAGCTCTCTGCTATGGCTTGGGAAAGCAACAGAAGATGGCCCAAGTCCTTGGGCCCCTGCACCAATGTGGAAGACCTGGAAGAAGCAACTGGTTCTTGGCTTTGGATCAGTGCAGTTCAGGCCATTGCAGCCAACTGGGGAGTGAACTAACAGATAGAAGACCGACCTCTCTCTCTCTTTCTGCCTCTCTGTAATTCTCTGCCTTTCAAATAAATAATCTTTAAAAAAGCAGATAATAAAATTAAATGGTTTCTACACCATATAAAAGTGTTTAGAGTTTATTAAATAATAAAATGTATATATTTGTTACATGTTGATAATTTATAATTGAATATTTTATGAACTAACATATTGGAATATTCATCTTTCTTACAAAATAAGAGTTTTTATTTGTGTTAGTATCTCAAAAAACATGACTTTAGTCATATTTCTCTATAACAATGAAGCTTTATCGAGTGTTAATACAGAGACTACCAGGTGTCATTCAGGGATCCTGGACTTTGAGGTTAATGCCTTACTGAGATGAACTTTTAGATTATCTCACTTAATGTATCTTATAATGAAAGGAGAATAAACTGTTAATTGGTGACTAGTAGGATGGATTGCAGTAATCCTTGGTGCTATTCACCAATAAATACTAGTCATCTTCCTTCTGGGAAGTAGTGGATTACACTTCCTCTATCCCCTTCAAAACAGTCATGCCATATAATTTACTTTGGTCAGTGACACATGAGCAAAATTGACTTGCATCTCTTAGGAAGAAAGAGTTTGGCATTCTTCTTCTTTCTTTTACCACACAAGGTGGGGAGACCCAGAGATTCAAGTACCCCTAAGCCATTCAATTGCTTAGAGAACCACAGAGAATAAACTGCTATCCTTTCAGATGAACCTACAGATAAGCAGGAAGTACATTTCTGTCCTTGCTGTTGTTGTTTTAAGCTATTAAGAGCTTCAGGTTTTTTGATACTGCATTATAAGCAGCCCCACTCTAACTAATAAAAGTGGTCAGGAAAGATACAAAGGTGGATCATCTTGGCAATTATAAGTGGAAACTATCTACCGATAATTCTGGAAGCACTTTCGTTAGTGATTTCACCTACCTTCCAATTGTGACTAATCTAGAACTGGTGGTTATAAGATTTCAAACTATATTTAAAAAAAATTTATGAAATTACATCTTCATTACCGAGGTCATGATAAACAAGGAAACACTCTGTGTGTGTGTGTGTGTGTGTGAGAGAGAGAGAGAGAGAGAGAGAGAGAGAGAGGGAGGGAGAGAGGGAGAAAGGAGAAAGAGAGAGAGAGATGGAAGATGGATAAGCACAATCCATAAAACAGGAAGTTTGGTTCCCGAATTTATGTGTTTCCAAGAAGAATTCATTTCCCACATACTTATGCATAAATTTCCAGTAATGCACAGTACTTCTCAGCAAACTGGTTTGGTCCCTGCACAAAGAAACAAACTTCCACTGAGTCTTTTGAGCAAAAATTGAAAAATGTAATTGGAGTCTACATTTAATCAAGACTCCTGACTGTCTTGGAAGAAGTTACTTTCTCTAGCACGGCGCAGAACTTATCCCACAACATTTGGAAGGCGCTAAACGTCCTGCCATGCGCTGTTCTAGGGTCGGGCGACCCAGGGGGACGATGTCATGGTAGAGGAGGTTCAGAGGATAGCTGCCCTACAGGAGTTCACGGTTTGCGGAGCCTAAGAAGTTTCTTCTGTAGTTTTTCAGTCAGCTTTATTCAATACCCTACAAATGATTTTCAGTGAGAAGCTCCGCATCTTTTCCCCAGTTCTTACAAATATTCTCGCTTTCCGCGAGCTCTTTGTCTTGGAAAATGAAGTCACTGGGTCGTAAGGCAGTAATTTCAGATGCGGCTCAGTGACAGGCTTGCCTTTTCCCTGCGAGTTACGAGATGACAGGAACCCCGAAAAGTTTCCAGTACTTAAAAACACACAGCGAAGGTTGCATCGGAACGGTTTCCACTTGGCCCTTCCAGCGCAGAGCCTAAGTGACCACGGCTGGGTCGGACCGCGACGCTGCCTGTGGGAAGCTAAGCGCACAAGGCTTACCGCTCAGAGGAGGCTAAGGCCGGTCTTCGAGCTCAAGGGTGTGAAGACCGGCGAGTGCGCCTCCCTGCTGGACTACAATGACCGGCATGCACCGAGCCCTGACAGCTGGCTCCGCTTCGGGACTCTGGCGCAATGGAGCATGGGAACTGAAGTCCCCTACAGCCGGAGCCCGGCGCGAAGGCAGAAGGGAGGCGTTACGAGTCCGCTCCATTAGCGAGCGGGTTCCTGGCGGGGCGCTGGGTCTCCAGCTCCCGCTCAGGGTTTTCGCGGGCGGCGGGAGCCGTATGGCTCGCATGAGTAAACTCCGGGGGGAGGGGGGAGAGGGGAGTGGATGGGGAGGCGGGGTCAGCGGAAGCGGCAGGTTGCTTCCTTCTCCTCTCGCTCCCTCCCCGCCTCTCCCTGAGGGAGCGGTGGGAGGGGGAGGGAAGGGCAGAGGGAAGGTAGTGACACGTGTCAATCAACCCCCCTCCGGGGGGCGCGCGCTCCGGGGCTCGCGCTGAGGGCTCGCGCCCCTGCCTCGTGCCTGCGCCGCTCGTATGTAAATGAGGGCGCGTGACGCGGGACGCAGATGGACAAGGGAAGAGAGAGAATGGCCGCTGCCGCCGCCGCTGCTGCCGCCGCCGCCGCTGCTCAGTGCCGGAGCCCTCGGTGCGCGGCGGAGAGGAGAGGATTCCGGCGGGAACTCGACTCTTGGCGCCACCGTCTCATGCACTGTGTAGGTAAGAGAGACACGGATCGGGGCCCCGGGCTCCGCGCGGCGACGGCTGCCGCAGCCCGAGGAGTTTGAGGCTGAGGGGTTTAGTTGAATCTCCCGTTCGGGTCAGTTCAATGGGGGAGCGCGATGGGAGCGGCGGCGGCTCCGGCGCTCGCCTTTTGTCTTGGGGCTCCTCGCCTGGCGCGCTCCGCGCTCCTCCGGCTCCTCGGCTCTTGGGCTCCCCGGGAACTGTTAGTTCGGACCCGCTCGCCGAGCCCCTGAGGCGGCCGCTGGCTCTCGCTCTGCCCGAAAGTGCTCGGCGCCCCCGTCGCCGGCCGCCGTGGCCCCTGTCAAGAGGGAGGAAGCCGCCCGGCGGGTCGGCGCCCGGGCGGAGAGCGGAGCCGGCGGGCAGGGCGGCGGGAGGAAGGCGGGCTGGTCCGCGCCCCCGCCGAGCGCACACACACCCCCTTGGCGCCCCCGGGGGCCGGGCCGCTCGACGCCGCGGATTTCCCGGGGACTCGGACCCCGGGGACCCTCGGGGCGCTCGCGGGGCGGGGATCGCGGGTGGTCGGGCGAGGGGCGGCGGGGGCGTTGCCCTTGGGGCGGGGGGCGCCCAACTCTGCCCTCTCGCGCTCGGCGGCGGCGCCGGCGCTGTGTGTACCTCTTTAAGAAGGAGCCGCTCGAGCGCTGACGGTTGGGATTTGAAGTTCTTCCTCCCTCTTTGGAAGTCTGGACGGATGGGGGGTGTTGCCAAGGGAACGGCACCCTCCACCCCCTCCCCACCCCGCGCGGACGCCGGGACGGCTCTGGTCCTTTTTGTGTCATGTGATGGACTCTTCCCTGCACACTCGGACATACACGCTCACACACCCCGCGCTCCCCACCTCTGCGGATCCCGTCTTTCTTTTTGGTGGGGTCTCCTCGCTTCCTCTTCAAACTTCTGGTCTTGGGGATCTCGTTCCGTGGGTTGTTTAGGGTGGCGGGAAGTGATGGGGCTCCTCCACCTTGCTGCAAGTCACTTCTTGGACCCCCCCCCCCGCCCCTGAGTGAGACGTTTGCGTGGATCTGTTATGCAGCAGGTTGGTCTCGCGGGCATGGATACGGAGGAGCCAGCACGAGTTGCGGGCTGGGGCGTGTCGTGCGTGTTTGTGTTGGACGCGGGGGACGGGGCAGAGGTGGAGAGGAAGGTTGTGTTGTGTAAGGAGCGGACGGTGGCGAGTAGCCTCACCTTGCCGCGCTGGCCAGTAAATCCTGGCGTTTGGAGTTGAGGAGTAAACCTTCGTGGCTTAGGAAAACAGCTCGCACCGTGTCTGCAGCTGTTTTTGCACCGCCTCGCGCTCCTTACCGCCCATCCCGCTCTCAGGTGGGTTTGGTTAGCGCCTTAGGATCTTCCTGGTTTTCTCAACTGGAAAGGAGGTGGTAGTAGGTTAAACGAGTACAACTGCAATTTGGAAATGTGCACTGCACATCACGATGAATACAGGAAAGCGTGCAAGAAAGAAGATTGCTCTGATTGAAGCATTTAAGTGATGGTTAAGCAATTTACTGTTTTGTTTCAGGCTTGTAAAATATAATTGGTCTTATCTAAAGAAAGGTTATGGGAAATAGCTCTAGGCAACTATTAATTACATGTTTTTTTTTTTAAATCCTCACTTTTTTGCATATATTTCTTAAAAAGCTGAATTTGCCATTTGTGCTTCTTGGTTACATGGACCTGTTTTTTATACTGGTTTATGTAAAGATCTCTTTTACCGAAAACTGATTTTAAAAATTGATGAGTTCATTCAGGTAGACTCAGGTAGGATGACGGCATTGCAACAGTGTTTCTATGTATTACTGTTAAGTTTTGTGAAGCCATACTGTGATTTGAGGACGTCCTAGGTCAATTTTTATATTTTAGAATATGTGGGGTTTTTGTCATCTAGCTTATTTAGATACTTTAAGTATGGTTTTGCATCACAAAGATGAGTACCTTTGAAAAATAGTTAAATTTTAGTTAAGTGAAAAACAGAATTAATGAGTTTCATAGAAAATAGAATATTTTTGTTTGTACTACTTAGATACTGAAGTAGTATTGGAGAACACTGAAAATTCACTTAATACTGGGTATGTGATACCTAATCTCTGTATACACTTAAAATGTTTTAAAAATTTTGATTTGAGCAGCAGCAAAGAGACAGAGAACTCCCTCCCATCCTTTGGTTCAAATCTTCCCACCCCAGCCCCCTCCTCTTGTCTGCAGTGGCCAGAGTGGGAACTCAATCCAGGTCTCCCACGTGGGTAACAGAAACTCAATTACTTGACCCATCACCACTGTTTCCTAAGGTCTGCATTAGTAAGAAGGTGAAGTAAGTAGCCCAGGCTGGGGATGATACTCAGGAACTCTGATGTGGGATTTGGGTGTCCTGCTTTATATATTTTCAATGTATATAATTATACTGTATATGAAAATAAATTTTTTCTTCAGTTCTAAGAACTGAAGTTTTAGTGTTTGAGAATTATTTCCCACGTTCTCAGCCCTAGTCAGGAAACTAAGACCCACCTTATAACTTTGTTTTTGTCATTGTTATTTTTAAATAAGCAAAAATACTTTTGAAAATAGGGTATATATTTGCTGCTTTGATCAGGTGTTTGGTTTCCCCAGTATCCTGTCACATTTATAGTGTAAATTGTGATTAAATGTAGTTCGTATAATAATTGTATGTTGCATTTTGCAATTAATATAATTACATCTATAACTTTAAGTACATTTATAAAAATCCACTTTTCTTTGCATTTATGTACATGTGTGAATATATATTTACACACATTTATGAATGCTTTGTGTTGAATATTCACTGCTTTTATTGCTTGAAATAATTTTATAAAATATCCTTCTTGCCTTTGAAGAAGAGAATGATCTTATTTTTAGATGTAGGTAGTGTCTCGGGTTTGTACAACAAATTAGTATTGAGCCTGTAGTAAAGTTAGGAGTCTTGGTTCTTAGCCTAATGCTTTAAAATAATCCAACACATTTTTTTAGCTTATATATAATAATTTTATAGAGAAGACAGTTATTTTAGTTGTCATGACTTCTTATTGTTAGTTTAAAAGCTAAAATGTTTGTTGATGTGAAAAGAGATGTCTACTTTCTCATAATTTGTAGCTCATCTCTTTACCTTAGATTTTTGACTATTCTCTTGAGTCCTTCCAGGCTTTTTCTTTTAATTGGAGAGTTGGCCTTCAAGCTCCTTGCCCCAATTAATAGCTCTAAGACAAGTGTTGCTTTTGTTAATTTGACTGTTTTTCTGTAATCATCCAATACTATTCTATAATTTTGATGTGCTCATTTAACAAATGTTTGAGTACTTATTTAACATAATAAATAGTATACTAAGTATGATGTTGGGTGATAATAGATTTAGTCCTGGATCTTACGGAATACTCATAATATAATTAGTATCTGACAAGTCTCATAAAATTAAAGACAGAGTAAAGTCTAGAGAGATGCATTAGTATCTTTTTAAACGTTATCAGGACTATTATAGTGTATTAAAATATTTGCTCTGGGAAATAGGCCATTTTAAATTTTTCTATTTTGATACAATTTCAGTCTTGCAAGAAAAGGTGAAAGAATAGTACCAAGGAATTCCTTTGCCTTTTTACCCACATTTGCCAGTTTTTCATTTTGTTATATTTGCTTTATCATTCTTGCCCCATATCCATGTCTCTGTAGGTTCTGAACAATTAGATGCTTTAGAGCTGTCATATTTCTTTACTCCTAAAAGATTCTGTATATATTTTGTAAAATCAAGGGCATTTTCTTACTTAACCATAGTACAGTTATTAAAACTATGAGATTTGGTATTAATATACTGCTCTTGTCTAATTTATAATCCATATTCAAAATTTTTTATTTTCTTTATGAACTTTTTTCAGTACTGTTCAGCATCTACCATATGATCATTCAGTATTACCTGTAATCATCATGGCTTTTTATTCTCTTTTTGGTTAGGAATACTTCCTAAGGCTGCTTTTGTATTTCTTGACCTTGACATTTTTGAAAAGTACAGGGCAGTTACTCTGTAGAACGTTCCTCAATTTGAATTTGTCTGTAGTCTTCTCGTGATTAGATTGGTTATGCATTCGACATGAATACCTCTGAAGAGATGTTCATTCCTTGTCGGTACATCCTATCTTGAGGCTCATGATGTTGGTTTGTTCCAGTGTTGGTGAGGTTGGTTCTGAGAATTTGGTTAAGATGGTTTTCTTTGTATTTTTCCCTGAAAGTTATTATTTGCTCCTTTGTAATTAATGTGCAGAATGTTTGTGTATACTGAAATCTGGATGCCACAGAGAAAATTAAAGAGCATCTGTTTATAGCCAGCATTCATGACTGATAGATAAGTTAAAACATCAAGGTTCATAAGTACAAAATTTAGGAGACCCACTTAATTCGAGTCTATGAGATTAATCAAGCAATCCTTTCAGTAGTTTTTTTTTTTGTAAGTAGTTTTTATTCACAAAGGAATGTACATAAGAGAAGGTGAATGGAGCCAAACCAACCTACTGCTACCACTAGAAAACTAAATAACAAAATATGACAAGTCTTCAAATAATCTTGGAAAAGTACGTATTATGAAAAAGTATTGATTTCAAAATTTTTGCACCAAAATAAACTTCTTTTGATTTCATTTTTCAATGAGCATTTTGAAGTCCTCTCATAATACCATCTTTGTATTTGAAAAATAGCATTTTGTTCTTAATTTAGGTTAAATAAAAATTTTTAAGATTTATTAGGCAATTACACAGAGAGGGAGAGACAAAATGAGTAAATAAAAGGTTTTTGAAGATTCTTATCTTTTCTAGACAAAACTTACAGCGGGGGCTGGCGCTATGGCATAGCGGGTAAAGCTGCCGCCTGCAGTGCCAGCATCCCATGTGGCTGCTGGTTCGAGTCCTGGCTGCTCCACTTCCAATCCAGCTCTCTGCTATGGCCTGGAAAAGCAGTAGAAGATGGCCCAAGTCCTTGGGCCCCTGCACCCAAGTGGGAGACCTGGAAGAAGCTCCTGACTCCTGGCTTTGGATCGGCGCAGCTCCAGCTGTTGTGGCCAGTTGGGGAGTGATCCAGCGGATGGAAGACCTCTCTCAGCCTCTCTTCTCTCTCTGTAACTCTGATTTTCAAATAAATAAATAAATCTTAAAAAAAAAAATTACAGTGAAGATACTTTTCTGTATCTTAGCTCATTCCCTTTCATATAGTTTTTCCATAATTGGCAACAACTCTAATCAGCTTAGTTACATTTGCTTTTTATTATTTTTTTCTCTTTAAACTGTTGTCAGGTTATTTCACTTTCTTCACAGTATCTGATGGATTCAGTGTTTGTGATGTGGTAAATTAGGCAGATGAACATAAGATTCGGGTTTGTGTCTGGATTACTGGTTTTACTATCATACAGCCTCTCTTATAACCTACAGTAAATCATTGCTTGGAGTAGCTGCTTTGATTTCATAATTTACAAAGCAAGTAATATCTCCCTTTTGTCTTTTGTTCATCAGGTGAAAGCCCCTGACCACATTCAACTAGTTGGCTATGTTCTTCCAGACTGTTTCTTCCCCGTTTGTCCAGTTTCTTTAGACAATGCAACCTTTTCATTTGCTTTTATTCTCTTTTATATATATATTTCTCCATATTCTTGAATCATTTTAGTTGTATCTTCAACCCTGCATCCCCAGTTGTCTTTAAAATTCAGCTCTACCTAGAGTTTTCTAGAGCATTTAGAGCCCTTTGATTCAAATTGACCTTTTTTTTTTTTTTAATTTGACAGGTAGAGTCATAGACAGTGAGAGAGAGACAGAGAGAAAGGTCTTCCTTCCGTTAGTTCACTCCCCAAATGGCCGCTACGGCTGGCACTGCGCCGATCTGAAGCCAGGAGCCAGGTGCTTCCTCCTGATCTCCCATGCAGGTGCAGGGGCCCAAGCACTTGGGCCATCCTCCACTGCCCTCCCGGGCCACAGCAGAAAGCTGGACTGGAAGAGGAGCAACCAGGACTAGAACCTGGCTAGGATTAACCTAGTGAGCCACGGTGCCGACCCCTGACTGGTTCTTTTCTAACAGGTCATGCAAGGAATGTATTTTGGAATCAGTTATGTTTCGTAGTCCTTATGTTTAAACTGTTGATGATGAGGGACTAAGTCTTCATAAATGGTAGAAAGGGGTAAATGGAAAGAACCCATGTAAGACTCATAGACACAAGATGTTTTACCTTTAAGATTGCTGTGTTTTAATCAGAAATGCTATATTGTATAATAGTGGCTTCTGGAATGAAGACATAAGTTAGAGAATTAGCGTGAAGGTGATATTTAAATCTATGGAAAATGATGAGATTACCACAGGGTAGGATAGAAATAGAGGACTTGGCCGGCGCTGCGGCTCACTAGGCTAATCCTCCGCCTGTGGCGCCAGCAACCCGGGTTCTAGTCCTGGTTGAGGTACTGGATTCTGTCCTGGTTGCTCCTCTTCCAGTCCAGTTCTCTGCTGTGGCCGGAAGGCAGTGGGCCCTGCACACATAATGGAGACCAGGAGGAAGCACCTGGCTCCTGGCTTCAGATTGGCGCAGCACTGGCTGTAGCAGCCATTTAGGGGATGAACCAACCAAAGGAAGACCTTTCTCTCTGTCTCTAACTCTGCCTGTCAAAAAAAAAAAAAAAAAAAAAAAAAAAAAAAAAAAAGAAATAGAAGACTTAAGAAATTATAACATTTCCTGGCTAAAGGAAGACGAACTTCAAAGTGAGGACACTGAACTTTTATACTTAAAAGTAAAGGCAGGAGCCAGCGATGTGGTATAGCAGGTTAACACCTTGGCCTGAAGCACCGGCATCCCATATGGGCGTTGGTTCGAGATCCAGCTGCTCCACTTCTGATCCAGCTCTCTGCTATGGCCTGGGAAAGCAGTAGAAGATGGCCCAAGTCCTTGGGCCTCTGCACCTGAATGGGATCCCGGAGGAAGCTCCTGGCTCCTGGCTTCAGATCAGTGCACGATTGCTGCAGCCATCTGGGGTGTGAACCAGCGGATGGAGGACCTCTTTCTATCTCTGCCTGTCCTCTCTCTGTGTAACTCTGACTTTGAAATAAATAAATCTTTAGCCAATGACTTTACTTTTATTTTAAAACTGTAAAACTAGGGGATATTGGTATTACCAAATCCTAAGAAGAGTGGATAATATTAAAATAAGGAGGGATTGTTACATATTGATGTTAAATTCCTGTGGTGAAATGGTTTTTCTTGAAAACATGGACGTTCTAGATGACCTTGACTACATAAATTTCAGCAGAGCAGTAGAAATGGCTGCCAAATTGTAATAGGCTATAGAGAATTAAGTTATATGCAGAGGTTAACGTTTGTAGGAGACTGCTCAGTTAAGAACTATGTTTTGAGGAATAACCAGTGAGTGGAACAGAAATTGGAGACATATCTGGGGTCTAGAGATGTTTGTTTCTTAGATAGTAGATAGATTTATAATAGTAAGGTAGATGGGAAATACTTTTTAGAATCAGTGATACTGATAATTATTTTGTATGTTGTATTTAAGCTTAGATGAGATAGTGACAAAATATTCAGATATATTAGATAAAGCAAGAGACTGGGCTTGGTTTGAATTACTAAATGTGAATCCTTTATTTTTGTCCTTCAAAAATGTTTTCCTTACCAAGTTCGTCACTGAGATAGTACATACGACATTGGTGCCTGGCACATTTTAAAGAAATGATTTTTTTTCCAATTAATTTACTGTTGTCAGTCACCAAATATCTTGAGGCCTATTTGACAGTTCGTTGAGGTATAATTCTATTTCTTTTTTCATACTGGGTTCTGAACTGGAAATAGACATAGGAATCAGGGATGAAAATATTAGCTTTTTTAACTGTTTATTTTTATCTACTTTAAAGGCAAAACAAGAGAGTGAGAATGTGTGTTACATGCCAGTGTTTGACAGCTCCCATCTTGTTCACTCCGCAAATGCTTCCAACAGCCAGAGCTGGACCAGGCGGATGTCAGGAGCCAGCAGCTTCATCTGGGTCTTCCACTAGAGTGGCATCACCTGACTCCCAGGATGCATCATCAGGAAGCTGGATTAGAAGTGGAGTTACCTATGATTTAAACCAGGCTGTCTGGTGGTAGGATGTGGGCATCTAAGTAGCAACTTAACCTGCTGTGCCACACCAGCACTAGGTTTTTAATGATAAGGTTGTGTTGAAGAACTTGGTGATGACTTGAAGCCAAAATTAAATATTGGCCTACCTTACTCCCTGGCTTTCTGAATTGCATTGAACACCCTGTCAAAGATAGTGCAATCAGAAATTTCAGGCCTCTTCTACAACGCAAGGAAGCTCTAACCCAGGGAGGCACAGTGAGCTAGAGTCTTGTCCATGACTGAAAAATGGCTTTTAAAACATTAATTCATCCAGTAGGTATGATGCATCAATATTCATTTTCTTTCCTTGGGGAGGACTGAATAAGTGCTTGTGGGAGTGCTATTTTATGGGACAGGCAAGAATGGTGGAGTGGATCAAAAAACTTACTGTTAATTCAAGAAATAAGATTTTAGACTATGCTTTTTTTTTAAGCTTTATTTTTTTGAAAGAGTTACACAGAGAGAGGAGAGGCAGAGAGAGGTCTTCCAACTGATGGTTCACTCTCCAGATGGTCACAACGGCTGGAGCTGTGCCAATCTGAAGCCAGGAGCCAGGAGCTTCTTCCTGGTCTCCCATGTGGGTGTAGGGGCCCGAAGACTTGGGCCATCTTCTGCTTTCTCGGGCCATAGCAGAGAGCAGGACAGCAAGTGGAGCAGCCGGGTTTCGAACCGGCGCCCATATGGTACGCCGGTGCTTCTTTCTAGGGCGTTAACCCACTGTTCCACAGTACAGGCCCCTAGACTATGCTTTTAAAGAGCTCACAATGATTAGGGATGTGAGGAATTTTAAGCTTAGTATAATATAATGGAAAGATAGGCAAGGGAGTAATTACTTTTGACTTGAAGAATCTAAAATGATGACTTCAAAAGCTCAAGTGAAAACTGAGGTTGACAAACTTTCTGTAAAGGGCTGGATGGTAAATACAAGGGGTCTTCTAAAATGTTAAGGAAAATGTGCATTCTGAAGAAACTTCATGTATTTAAAAATTTTTTTGCATCAAAACAAACACCTTTTATTTCTGTTTTTCTAGAAACTTCTTGAAATCCTTTAAAAAAAGGATTTATTTATTTTACTTGAAAGAGTTACACAAAGAAAGAAGGAGAAGCAGAGAGAGGGAGGTCTTCCATCTGCTGGTTCACTCCCCAATTGGCCACAATGGCCGGAGCTGCACCAATCTGAAGCCAGGAGCTTCTTCTGGGTCTCCCATGTGGGTGCAGGGGCCCAAGGGCTTGGGCCATCTTCTACTGCTTTCCCAGGCCATAGCAGAGAGCTGGATGAGAAGTGGAGCAGCTGGGACTCAAACCTGGTGCCAATATGGGATGCTGGCACTGCAGGTGGTGGCTTTACCTGCTACGCCACAGCGCCGGCCCTAAATACTCTCATATTTAGACATTGTGACATTAGAAGAATTGTCAGGTAGACTGTGTAGGCTGACTTATTCATCCAATCTGAGGCACAGGGGAGAGGCACAGCATAATATGAGCTCTCTGTAGCTCTGTAGTCTGTGTTTTTCCTGAGTAGTTTACTCTCAATAGCCATCTGGTCTTTGTTGCAGCTACTGACCATTGCTGTTGTAGTGCAGAAGCAATACATAAATGAATGAGCTAGCTGGGTTATATCCCAATAAGCATTTATTTATAAAAATAGGTGATTTTACCTATAGGCCATAATTTGCTGACTACTGAGATTCTGCAGGAAAGTAGGATGTAGGGAGCAGGCAGAGTGGTAATATAAGCAAATACATAGAAATCTAAATAATGATATATTCTGGAAATATTCAACACTGTAGTATGAGTATGTAGTATGGGGTGGGAGTAGGAAATAAGACTGGAGAGGTATGAGCATAAAAATGACCTCTACAAGAAGGAAAATATGAGCCTTTGAAGTTGTTTGTTTTTTAAATGGTATAACCATGACCAGATAAGTTAGCTTATTTTCATTTGGAACATCTGTTGTTTGTTCGGGTTGAAGTTGTTTTTTGTTTTGTTTTGTTTTTTTCAGTGATTTAAGAAGCAGCCTTCTGAGTAAAAACTGGAAAAATATTAATTGAGACATTGGAATTTCAAAGTACTTTCAAATGGCACCCTTCTCTTCTGCCCAGGCTTTGAAATATAACAAGGAGAGAGATGGAAACCAAAATATCTTTTGTTACTCATAGAGGCCAGGTTACAGGAATATAACAAGGAGATAGATGGAAACAAACCAAAATACCCTTGTTACTTATAGAGGCCAGGTTACAGGAATAATCAGATGGGCTGGCGTAGTCCTCCTTAGCCATCCATTCCTAGGTGCACTGGAGAAGCACCATGTAACATGAACTCTCTGCAGGTGTACTCTCCCTCAGTAGCATCCTCCCAAGGGCAAGAGGCGCAGAGCTAAGCCCTCTCTACTCAGTTATTCATTCCAAAATCAACAGGTAAATCACATCAGTTTCCTGGAAGTGAAGAGAGGCTTAGATTGTGCCTCTTAAGCATCCTTTCTCATTGAAACCAAGAAAGCTGTGATACCTCTAACAATCGGGGCTTTTGAGGAAGGTTTTTTGCAGAGTGTATCTGTGTTGGAAACAATACTACTGTTACTATTCTATGAACAACTCCATCTCACATATTCTGGATATTGTAAAAAAAATAATTCTGGTATTTGGAACACCTGTGTATTTTTAATTCTCAAAATAAATTTAAAATTTTTTAAGTAGACTTTTTTTTAGGCCTACAAAGGTACTTAAGTAAAATGCATGTTTGATTAGAAAAGACAACGCTTCCTTCTATATTATAATTTTCTTTTTTTTTCTTTTATTTAATGAATATAAATTTCCAAAGTACAGCTTATGGATTACAATGGCTCCCCCCCCATAACTTCCCTCCCACCTGCAACCCTCCCCTATATTATAATTTTCAATAGACTTTTTAAATTTAGGGGATTAGTATGGACAAACACATTCTTTTATGAAAAGATGTGTATAGTTGGTCCTTCTTATCTGTGGATCCCATATCTGTGGGTTCCATTGATCATAGATTAAAAATATTTGAAAAATATTTGTGTATGTATTGACCATGTACATTCTTTTTTTTCCTTGTTATTCCAGTATAACAACTATTTACATATACTTGCATTTATTGGGTTTTGTAAGCAATCTAAATATGATTTAAAGTAATTGAGATGATGTATTGGTTTTGTATTTGATGTATTTGTATTTGATGTATTGATTTTGTATAAGGAACTTGAGCATCTGCTGCTCTTGATATCCTAAGGATAGTACTGAAACCAATCCTCACTGATATGGAGGTACTACTTACTCTAACAAACACATTGTCATTTTTAATTAGCATTGATTGTGGATGTTTATATAGTTTATTCACTGGTATTTTTAAAAGGTATCATCAGTTGTTCTGTATCCTCTTCCTCTTTCTGAGTAATTCAGTACTAAAACCATAGATGGTACCAAGTAAGACAAAGTGTCTTCTCTGGGTGCAGTGTTTGGAAGATAGTCATATTCTGTAGGAGGAGTAGAATATTAGAACCCGATGGAATGTGGAGGGTGTGCATGTGGGTTGATGGAATTGTGAGGGCAAAGAGCTTGTCTGCATAGGAAGGCATGCTGGTACAGGGTGTTGGGCATAAGCAGGAAGCATAAGGTCTCTGTGAAGGAGAATGATCTGATGTGGGGCGGGTCAGCGTGTCCCAACAAAGGATGTCCAGACCAGATTAGGCTAAGAGGATGAGGAGGGCATCTACTTGGGCTGTCATATGGTCCTGTAGGTTCTCAGAGCCCCCCAGCAGGAAGGTAGGAGGGTATCCATGTAGCATTGCAGCCTGAAGTAAGTATACTGAGACTCAAGTAGCAGGTGAGGAAGAAGTGCGTGTGTGTAGGTGTCTTGAGCACAAAGAGTCAGAACCTGAGGCACGGCGGAGCAGGGTGGGAGGGAGTATCTCAGTGGAAGCATCTGAGTGGAATATTAGCTTGATTTGGGATGTTAGAGTCTGAGCAGGGTAGGGAGGATATTCTTGTAGAATGGTTGCCCGGCATGAGGAATAGGGGCCTGAGCAGGTTAAGGAGATTATACACATGGGATAGGTGTAGGGATGTTGGGACTGGGAGGGATGAGGGAGTGTCCATGTGTAGAATGAGAGCCAACCATAATGGGAAGTGGGTTACATAAAGAGACACTGATCAAATAAATAAATATTAAGCCAGGCCTTTAGGGAGCCAGGCTTCTTATTGTCAAAGCAGAATTATAAATATAAAAACTAAAAACTAAAATGCTGTCCATAGAGTGGATGGAAATGAGAAATCCGTGTAAACTCATGCTTTTCATTATGTATAGATATAGAGATACCGCAGTGTCTGTGCATCTGCCATTATATCATATGCCCTAAACTGGTTACTGAGAAGGAGTCTGGGAACAATGACATCCCAAATAGCAGTGAGCATAATGTATCATTAATTTTCCCATTTTACTGATTGTTTTCATAAGAGAATGTCTTTGTAAGAAAAAAATAATTTGAGAATTCCAGAGTGGTGAGATTCAGTGCAGGCCATTTACTATCAAGTGGTTAGGAAAATAAAAGTTCTTATTATACTTCAAATATTTTCTGTATGTTTAAGATTGCCACAAATAAAAAGTTAAAAGCAATGCAATTAGCATGTATATTATGGTCTTGTGAATTAATCACTTTCAACCCTTAAAACTACACAGCTACAATGAATAGTTTCATAGATTTTTTTTTTTTTAATCAGTGAGAATTCTTTGAAACATTGATGGCTGATGTTGAATGTGTATTAGTTTTTAATTGCTATAGTGAAATACCTGAGGCTGGGTAATTTTATTAAAAAGATTGATTTAGCTAAAAGTTCTAGAGGTTTAAGGGTGTGGTCCTGGCATCAGTTCTGGTGAGAATTCCATGGTGAACAGCATTATAATGGTGTAAGCACATGCAGAAGGCAGAGAACTTGTGTATCACTAGACAGGAAACCAATGAGGCTGGGAAACAGCTAGCCTTGTTTCTTTCTTTCTTTCTTTTTTTTTTTTTTTAAAGATTTATTTATTTAATTGGAAGAGTTACAGAGAGGCGAAGGTGGGAAAGAGGTCTTCCATCCGCTGGTTCACTCCCCAGATGGCCTCAACAGCTGGAGCTGCACCAGTCTGAAGCAGGTGCCAGGAGCTTCTTCCAGGTCTCCCATGTGGATGCAGGGTCTGGAGGACTTAGGCCATTTCCTACTGCTCTCCCCGGCCATAGCGGAGAGCAGGATCAGAAGTGGATCAGCTGGGACTTGAACCCGCGCCCATATGGGATGCCAGCACTGCAAGGGCTGGCTTTATTCACTATGCCACAGTGCCAGCCCCAGCCTTGTTCTCTAACAACCTTCTCACAAGAACTAACTCTGGTATTCCAGAAGAACTACCTTAATTCCTTCTATGGACACACCCCTATGACCTAAGGATGTCCCATTAGGCCCCACCACTTACTGTCACCACAATGGGATCCACACTTCCAATGCATGAACCTTTGGGAGACAAATCATATCCAAACCACAGAAGAGTGCTTACACAGGTGTTGGACACTATGTTAGGTCTTTATATGTGTTATGTTTTAACTTTCACAGATGAAACAGTAAAATTTTTATCTTTATTTTTATAGCTGAGAAAACTAAACTGAGGCTTAGATCAGGCTTTCCATTTAGTAAACATGGAGACTGAGTTTGCAGCTCTGTAAAAATCATTCATAATGAGGCTTAGTAAGTCCAATATAACTTGCTTCCTCTTTACTGCCATGGCCTTTATATTTGTGATTCTACCTGGAACACCACCATCAGACAGCTGCATCAGTAGCATAGTAGTAGTACAGTAGTAATGGCAACTAAAATTTATTGCCTGTCTGTTAATACTTATATCTGCTAAGTGCTTTACATATATTGTATCCTTTAATCCTCCGAGAAAATTTTGAGTATAGGTACTGTCTTTGACATTTTACAGAGTTACACTGAACTCTTTTTTGGATCCGCAAGCACTGTGCCCTTGTTTTCTATTTCTGTTTATATATTATAATAGCTGCTGTTCATTGTGACTTTGATTTTTTTAACATAACGTAGAAAAAAGTATGAGATCATGAACTTACACCTAAGTGAACAGTGTATACCTACTCTTGTAACCAATGCCAGATTAAGAAAGGATTACTGTCATATCCCTTCCCAGTCACCAGTCTCTTTCCCCTTCCCAGAAGTGAATAGGATTTCTTTACATAATAGATTAAATTTGCCCTTTTTGGGAAACCTTGTTTAAATGGAATTAAAAAGCATGGGTTTTTTTGTGTTTAGCATCTTTAACATGGTATTATGTTTTTGTAAGTGATACATGTGGTTGCCTGTATAGTTTATTCATTATCAGTACTCTGTAATATTTCCCGATGTAAATATCACATTTATCTATTTTTTGAAGGGTATTTGGGTTGCTTTCCACTGTATATTATTACAATATAGTGAACATTCTTGTATGTAATATATTCTTAATTTTGATTTAACTCCTGGAATATTTTAAAATTTCATTTTAGCTGTCTAGATTTCACTGTTTTCCAGAATCTTTTCTTAGACTCTGTAGTGTAGGGTTTATACCTTTCTGTGTGTACTGTTATCATTCCCCTTCCTCTTTATAGTAACTGTCTACTGCTTATTTCCCACCAAGTTCAGAGTGTGTATATATACACTTACACATAAAAATCATATTTCTCTTTCCCTCACTTCCTGGCACCCACTTAGTATTTAACTGTTTAATGAATATTTACTCTTTTAGTACTAAACAAACATAAGCACAAATCTTATTGAAATTAGGTAATAAAGTTGACTATTCTCCACCTTTATTGTAGCCTGTTTGGTAAGATGTGCAGAGTTACCATAAAATTAATTAACAAGTTATATCAAAAAATTTTAATGTACCAGGCATCTGCATTGTCTATGTTGTTCATTTATTCTACCATACATTTTCTTTATTATTGTGACACTTTTAATAGCTTCACTATTCAAGATTCATTTATTTTATTTGAAGACAGAGTTATAGAGGGAGAGGGAGAGACAGAGATTTTGTCCATCTACTGGTTCACTTTCCAAATGGCCTCAATGGCCAAGGCTGGGCCAGACCAAAGTCTGGGGCCTAGAACTCCATCTGGGTCTCCAACATGGGTGGCAGGGGCCCAAGCACTCAGGCCATGTTCCGCTACTTTTCTCAAGTGCATTAGCAGGGAGCTGTAATGGAAGCGGAGCAGCTGGATATGGAACTTGCATTCATATGGAATGCTGGCATTCCAGGTAGGTGCTTAAACCCCCTGTGCCATGACACTAGTCTCCAATAGCTTTATTTGTGGCAAACTTAGTGATTATCCTTCAAGTTTAGTCTTGATTTTGGAAATTGACATAAGATGTTTAAAACCAAGACTGCAAAATTTTATGAATTATAAAATGTATCAAAAGTGAATTGAAATTTTGGGGAACAGACTCTTCTCTACTGTGTGATTCATGGCTTTAACTATTATTTCTTTTTTATAGAATTAACTGAATTCAAGTAGAGATATGCCACTGAAATAAGCCAGAGTGTCTTTTGCCTTATAAACCAGTTACTCTTGCAAGTTACTTATCTAGTACTTAGTTTATACTTGAATATTTTTTTAAATTTTTTTTTATTTGACAGATAGTTAAACAGTGAGAGAGAGAGAGACAGAGAGAAAGGTCTTCCTTCCGTTGGTTCATCCCCCAGATGGCTGCTGCAGCCAGAGCTACACTGATCCGAAGTGAGGAGCCAGGTGCCAGGTGCTTCCTCCTGGTCTCTCATGCGGGTGCAGGAGCCCAAGCACTTGGCCCATCCCCCACTGCACTCCCGGGCCACAGCAGACAGCTGGTCTGGAAGAGGAGCAACCGAGACTAGAACCCGGCACCCATATGGGCACCGCAGGGGGAGGATTAACCAAGTGAGCCACGGCATCGGCCCCTATACTTGAATATTATTTCTTTACTTTGTAAAAATTTTTCCATTTCATTTTAGCCTTGTTTATCCTGAATTCGTCTTTTCTGTACTTAAAAAGTTTCATCGTTGTTTTAACCATTGTGCTCATTACCAACACTTCTTCATTACCTCAATTAGATAATAAGACTGTCTTTCTATCTTCTTTCTCTCACTCTCTCACTTGCTTTGGGCTCTATTAACTCTTTATTCTTGCTTACTTCAGACATTGTATATAATGTTTATGGGTCTTGTCTGTTTTTTCTTCCCCACTAAACTGTAAGTCTAAGGCAGGTGTTTATTACGAACTCAATAAAACTTTTTAAAAATGTGAACACATTTTTTGTCTCCTGTTTTAGTGTCCTCTAAATACATCATTTGCCACAAATGCTCTTATTTTAGAACTGTCCCTCTTTAATGAAAAAGTGTTGTATTTAAGTATTGATGGTCCCTTCTTTGTTCAGCCAAATCCTCTATAAACTTCACAAGTTAACATTTTATTAGATAAATCACAGTGACAGATCCTGAGGGTAATACAAAGACACTATTGCTGTTGTCAAGGATCCAAACACTGTCTCTCCCCAACCCAAAAATAAAAGTCTCAAATTGCGAATTAAATAAGAATGTCAAGCTGCTTAGAGAATGTGGTATTGGTAAATTGAATTCTGACAAACAGGATTGTAGAAGGCTTTGAGATATGGTTTAGACAGTACTTGTATGCCAGGTCTTTGTATTTTACATAAGAACAAAACGTTTGCTTACTAAGGTTAAGTAATTGTTCAACTCATGAAAAAGCTGGAAGATATTGCTTTAGGTTAGTTTGTAAGACAAGACACTTAACAGGTGAATAAAAACTGTGTGCAAAAGCTCAAATGTATACACAATGTAATGAGTTATTTGGTTCTTATAAGTGGCATGTAATTATGATGAAATTATGAGTTTAGAAAATAGGTGGGAGTTAGATCAAAAAGGACATGTGTGCTAGCTTAAAACTTGTACCCTTGTGATTCATCTTGTAGAGATCCATTGAGTTTTAAGAAAAATTAGTTATTCTCTTCTAAATGGTAAAAGTTGATTAGAATACTGATTCCAATATCCATTATAAGAACCTTGGTAGTCAGATATTCCAGTAATCTTTGAATTTTCTACTGAGAATGATATTCAACAGAGGGTACTGTTTAAGATAATACTGTGGTTTGGACAAGATTTGGGTACTCAGCTTATGCAGATGCTTAAACCCCAGAGTCTTATGTTAATGGTGCAGAGAGGATCGGAACCTAGTCCATTTAAGGTTTCTGAAGGTTGGGAACTTGTTGGATTGGGTTAAGTCTCCAGGGTGGAGCCCCAAGATCAAATCATGATGGTTTAATGAGGAGAGACCATGCTGATGAGAACATTCATTGTCTCTTTGCTTCCTGCCCTACCATATGTTCCTCCTTCAGCATACAGTACGCCATCCACCTGCCTAATCAGATGCCAGATAAATAGGGCTGCCCAATCTTTGTGCACCTCCAAAACTGAGCTGTGATAAGCTGCCTTCCTTCATAAGAATCTTCTCCTAGGTGTTTTAGTTGTAGAAATATAAAGCTAATATAGGTAATGAAATTTAATGTTTGGAATTAAACTTTTTTCTATTTATGAATTATATCTGCCCCCCAAAAGTTGTAAACAGTATTATGATTTGTACTCAAATACCCTCCACCCTAAGGAATAAAATTTGACTAAATTGAAATTCCCATCCATCATTTCAGTTTCATTTCCTTGACTCCACTCTGAAGTTACATATTTTTCTCTTATTAATAGTCTAAGAAGCATTCATAGTCTACTTTGTATGGACATTTCAGTGTGAAGAATGAGATATATTTTATTTACCAGGTGGCTATCTTTCATAGATGATACACATTGAGTTGTTTGGTTTTAAGTACTTGGCAAATCTACGTGTAGGAAGCTTCCTTTTAAAACATCTTATCAACCCTAGATTATGTCTTTTAATTTATAAATCTAGATTTTTTTAAACTACTAGATTTATATAACGAGGCATGTCAGTGCTACAAATAGGATTGCTCTAGTATTACTTTTTTTAAAAAAATACTTATTTGAAAGGCAGAGTTAGAGATCTTCCAGCTGCTGCTTTGCTCTCCAAATGATGACAACAGTAGGGGGTGGGCCAGGATTCTGAAACTCCATCTAGGTATTCAGTGTGGGTGGCAGGCACCCAAGCACTTGGACCATCATTTGCTGCCTTCTGAGATGCATTAGCAGAGAGCTGGATAGGAAGTAGAGCAGCTACGACTTGAACTGGAGCTCATGTGGGTTGCCAACATCACAAGCAGCAGCTTAGCCTGCTGTGCCACAGTGCTGCCACCACTAGTGGTACAACTTTTTTTTTTTTTTTTAGATTTTATTTATTTATTTGAAAGGCAGAGTCAGAGAGGAAGAGAGAAAGGGAGGAAGAGAGAGGAAGAGAGATATTTTCTATCTTCTGATTCACTCCCCGAATGACTGCATCCACCAGAGTTGGGCAGATCTGAAGCCAGGAGCCAGGAGCTTCCTTCAGATCTCCCATGTGGGTGTAGAGTCCCAAACACTTGGGCCATTCTCCAATGCTGTCCCAAGCATACAGGCAGGGACCTGGATTGGAAGCTGAGTAACGACCATATAAGATAGATGCCAGAGCTGATGGTTGGCGGCTTTACCTGCTATGCCACAGGCCCCCAGTATTACAGCTTTATAAGAGTAATTTGCCTCGGGCCGGCTCTGTGGCCTGAGTGGGTAAAGCTGCTGCCTGCAGTACCAACATCCCATATGAGAGCTGGTTTTAGTCCTGGCTGCTCCTCTTCTGATCAGCTCTCTGCTATGGCCTGGGATAGCAGTAGAGGATGGCCCAAGTCCTTGGGTCCCTGCACCGAGTGGAAGACCCAGAAGATGCTCCTGGCTCTGGGCTTTGGATCTACACAGCTCCAGCCGTTGTGGCCATCTGGGGAGTGAACAAGCAGATGGAAGACCTCTCTATTCTCTCTCTGCCTCTGTCTCTGTGTAACTCTGCCTTTCAAATAAATAAAATAATTAATTCTTTTAAAAATAATTTGCAAACTTAATCTAGTAAGAGATAATGCTGGAGGGGGACCAGGATTTAAGGTGCTGCTGTCATGAGCATCCCATATCATAGTGTCTGGGTTGTAGTCCCACCTTTGCTTCCAGTTTCACCTTCCTGCTAATGTGCACCCCTGAAGGAATCAAGAGATTGGCTCAAATACTTGTTCCTGCGGCCCATTTGGGAGATCTGGACTGAGTTCCTGGCTCCTGGCTTTGACCTGGCACAGCCTTGATTGTTATGGGCATTTAGGGAGTTAAACAACAGATGTTATCTTTATCTCTATCTCTACCACTCCATCTCTCTTTCAAGTACATAAAATTAATTAATTAAAAATAATGTGAAACAGTATGAGCACAGCTGAATTGGAATATATCTCCTTAATCTATCTGTGAACTCAGGAATAAATTGAATTATCTGTTCCAGGTTTCTGATTGCAGCTAGCTTTTGTTTGTTGCTTTATATTTTACCAAGAAATTGCATGCAAATTAACTTGGGACTTAGAATATATGTGCTTTACTAAATGTTTTAATAATAAAATCTTCAGTATATGAAGTGTTGATAATATTCATGTTATAGAAGAGAAATTATTGATCGAAAGAAATTATTTGGCAGGATCATATGGATGGTACCATGGCAAATCTGGAACTCAGTTTTCTATATTTAATGAGAGGGCAAAACAGACCCAGATATAAAACTCGGGGATGCTAATGTGAGAGTGAGACCAATTTCTCCAACAGTGACTGAGAAGCACTTAAATATAGTGAAATAATTATTATAGTATCAAATCAACTGTTTAAGATTTCAACAGTGTACCTTGTAAGTGTACTTCTTAGTAATTCTCTGACTAGTTTGGTTTCCATTTGTTGCAGTATAAATCAGGGAACTAGGTGATTAATTTTTAAATTTTTTTCATTTAGTGTGTGTTCAAATATATTGACCTAGTTTCTTTTAACGCTGTTTCTCAACCTTGGCACTATTTGACTTTTTGGCTGGATAATTCTTTGTTGTAGTGGGTGGTTTTCGGTATTTAGCACCATTGTTGTCCTTTTCTCATAAGATGCCAGAAATTTATTTAAGTACTCATGTTTGGGAGTTAGGGAGACTTCAGCACATTGAAATAGAAACACCTTCCTTAATAGAGACATTATGATTCTAAAGTACTTGGAGGAAATATATTTGACATATACTTAGAAAAACAACAGACTGAAAAGCATAGTAAAAACTGCTGAAGAGTGGTAGTGGTTACGCTGCAAACTAAATAAATAAAACACTGAATTAATAAGTAAGAACAAAGTAGATGTAAATGTGAATTTCAGAAAACTACTTGATATAAAGGAAGAATTATTAACTGCAGGGAGTTTTCAACTTACAAGTGGAGCTGCATTCTAGAAGTTGTTTTAAGAATGTCTTAGGGGCCGGCGCTGCGGCTCAATAGGCTAATCCTCCAACTGTGGTGCCGGCACTCCAGGTTCTAGTCCCGGTCAGGGTGCCAGATTTTGTCCTGGTTGCTCCTCTTCCAGGCCAGCTCTCTGCTGTGGCCCGGGAGTGCAGTGGAGGATGGCCCAAGTCCTTGGGCCCTGCACCTGCATGGGAGACCAGGAGAAGCACCTGGCTCCTGGCTTCGGATCAGCGTGGTGCACCGGCCACAGCACGCCGACCGGAGGGTGAACCAATGTTAAAGAAGACCTTTTTCTGTCTCTCTCACTGTCCACTCTGCCGGTCCAAAAAAAAAAAAAAAAATGTGTTAGGTGTTAGAATAAAATTTTTCTCTCAAACATGTATTCAAGTAATATGTGAGTACCTAACATGGGCTAAGCATTGGGGCTAGCATAGTGAGCAAGATGATATGATTCCTGCCTCCTTGGGGTGTATATAGATTTTTGTGATATTTATCAAATAAAGATTGATTTATATGCTATTTTTTCTTCTAGTACTCCTCTTCCCCCATTTTGTGCTGAGGATAGAGTTATCATTTCCTACTCACTGATGTATCTCCAGGTTCTAGAATACCTAATAAACATGCAAATATTTGTTAAATGGATTAATTCTTTAGTTGGGAAGAGACATTAAAAATTAGACGTGATTAATTATAATTGTTAGTGCTTCAAAGGGACTAATACAGGGTGTTTTGTATATGTAAAATACATGTAACATGAGTCTCATGTAGTCTACTGCTAGATTAGATGAGATGAAAATTTAAATTGAGACAGCAGTCCTTAAACCAACATTTTAAGAAGTAGGTGTTATGTTTTGGGAGTGGGAATGGGAGTTTGAGTGTGATATGGCTGAAGGAACAGTTTATGTAAAGAACTGAGGTACATACAGTGTGACTTGAGGTTTGAGTATTGGCAACTATGGAGGCTAGGCAGCAGTATGGTATGAGATGGACTATTTATTGTATTATGCACTGAAACACTGAATATTACATTGACAACAATGGAAATGAAAATAGAAAAACAACTTTGAAATGGTGACTTTAAAAGATTTTGGTTCAGGGGCTGGCACTGTGGCTCAGTTGGTTAACACCCTGGACTGAAGCGCTGGCATCCCACATGCGTGCCGCTTCTAGTCCTGGCTGCTCTTCTTCCGATCCAGTTCTCTCCTATGGCCTGAGACAGCAGTGGAAGATGGCCCAAGTTCTTGGGCCCCTGCACCCATGTGGGAGACCCAGAAGAAGCTCCTGGCTCCTGACTTCAGATCAGCACAGGTCCAGCCGTTGCGGCCATCTGGGGAGTGAACCAGCGGATGGAAGATCTCTTTCTCTGTACCTCTCTCTGTAACTCAATAGAATAAATCTTTAAAAATATTTTGGTTCAAAACTATTTCTGCCTCATAAAATTTCTTAAAATTTGATTCTGATACTTGACAAAAACTTGTTTTAATTCATTTAAATAGAAAAATGAAACTCAATCTTCTACCCATCTCTAAGTTCATGTTTCTGCCTCTGATGTATTTAATTTATACCCATATATTCACCCAAACGTGAACTTCCTTTATAGCTACCATGCAAATAAAAGCAAAACAGCAAAAAAAGCTCATGAATTTCTTCTCAATGGATATTTATACACTTTGTTTCTCAAGCCAAAAATCTACTTTTTTCATTTATTCCTCTCAGTGTTACCTCAAAATAATGAAGCTGAGTTCTTAAGTTATTTCCATTGACTTTTATTAATATTGCTGAATGCCCTCTTTTCTGCAGGTAAGCTTTTACTACCTATTTTTTTTAACTTTTTATTTTTAACTTTTATTTAATGAATATAAATTTCCAAAGCACAGCTTATGGATTACAATAGCCCCCCCAAAAAAAACTTCCCTCCCACCGCAAACCCTTTTCGTGCTTTCCCTCCCCTTCCATTCATATCAAGATTCATTTTCAATTCTCTTTATATACAGAAGATCAGTTTAGTATATAGTAAGTAAAGATTTTAGCAGTTTACTCCCACATAGAAACACAAAGTGAAAAATACTGTTTGAGTACTAGTTATAGCCTTAAATCACAATGTACAGCACATTAAGGACAGAGCTCCTACATGAGGAGTAAGTGCACAGTGACTCCTGTGGTGACTTAACAAATTGACACTCTTGTTTATGGCATCAGTAATCACCCTAGGCTCTTGTCATGAGCTGCCAAGGCTATGGAAGCCCCCTGAGTTCACCGACTCTGATCGTATTTAGACAAGGTCGTAGTCAGAGTGGAAGTTCTCTCCTCCCTTCAGAGAAAGGTACCTCCTTTTTTGATGACCTGTTCTTTCCACTGGGATCTCACTCGTGGAGATCTTTCATTTCGGGTTGTTTTTTTTTTTTTTTTTTTTTTTTGCGCCAGAGTGTCTTGGCTTTCCATGCCTGAAATACTCTCATGGGCTCTTCAGCTAGATCCGCATGCCTTAACGGCTGATTCTGAGGCCAGAGTGCTGTTTAGGACATCTGCGATTCTATGAGTCTGCTGTGTATCTCGCTTCCCATGTTGGATCGTTCTCTCCCTTTTTTTTCTATCAGCTAGTATTTGCAGACACTATTCTTGTTTATGTGATCCCTTTGGCTCTTAGACCTATCAGTGTGATCAATTGTGAACAGAAATTGATCACTTGGACTAGTGAGATGGCATTGGTACATGAACCTTGATGGGATTGAATTGGAATCCCCTGGTATGTTTCTAACTCTACCGTTTGGGGCAAGTCAGCTTGAGCATGTCCCAAATTGTACATCTTCTCCCTCTCTTATTCCCACTCTTACATTTAACAGGGATCATTTTTTCAGTTAAGTATCAACACTTAAGAATAACTGTGTATTAATTACAGAATTCAACCAATAGTATTAAGTAGAACAAACAAACAAAAAATACTAGGAGGGATAAAGTATTAAGTTGTTCATCAAAAGTCAGGGCAAGGGCTAATCAAGTCACCATTTCTCATAGAGTCCATTTCACTTCAACATGTTTCCTTTTTGGTGCACAGTTAGTTGCCACCGATCAGGGAGAACATATTATATTTGTCCCTTTGGGACTGGCTTATTCCACTCAGCATCATGTGTTCCAGATTCCTCCGTTTTGTTGCAAATGACCGGATTTCATTGTTTTTGACTGCTGTATAGTATTCTATAGAGTACATGTCCCATAATTTCTTTATCCAGCCTACCGTTGATGGGCATTTAGGTTGATGCCAGGTCTTAGCTATTGTGAATTGAGCTGCAATAAACATCAAGGTGCAGACAGCTTTTTTTTGTTTGCCAATTTAATTTCCTTTGGGTAAATCCCAAGGAGTGGGATGGCTGGGTTGAATGGTAGGGTTATATTCAGGTTTCTGAGGAATCTTCAGACTGACTTCCATAGTGGCTTGACCAGTTTGCATTCCCACCAACAGTGGGTTAGTGTCCCTTTTTCCCCACATCCTCTCCAGCATCTGTTGTTGGGATTTCTGAATGTGAGCCATTCTAACCAGGGTGAGGTGAAACCTCATTGTGTTTTGATTTGCATTTCCCTGATGGCTAGTGATCTTGAACATTTTTTCATGTGCCTGTTGGCCATTTGGATTTCCTCTTTTGAAAAATGTCTTTTGAGGTCCTTGGCCCATCTCTTAAGTGGGTTGTTATTTTGTTGTTGTGGAGTTTCTTGATTTCTTTGTATCTTCTGTTTATCAACCCCTTATCAGTTGCATAGTTTGCAAATATTTTTTCCCATTCTGTCGGTTGCCTCTTCACTTTCCTGTCTATTCCTTTTGCAGTATAGAAGCTTCACAATTTGTTGCAATCACAATAGTTAATTTTGGCTTTTACTGCCTGCGCCTCTAGGGTCTTTTCCAGGAAGTCTTTGCCGGTGCCAATATCTTGCAGGGTTTCTCCAATGTTCTCTAATAATTTGATGGTGTCGGGTCGTAGATTTAGGTCTTTAATCCATGTTGAGTGGATTTTTGTGTAAGGTGAAAGGTAGGGGTCTTGCTTCATGCTTCTGCACATGGAGATCCAGTTTTCCCAGCACCATTTATTCAATAGACTGTCCTTGCTCCCGGAATTGGTTTTGGATCTTGATCAAATATAAGTTGGCTGTTGATGTTCGGTTTGTTTCTGGTGTTTCAATTCTGTTCCACTGGTCTATCCATCTGTTTCTGTACCAGTACCATGCTGTTTTGATTACAACTGCCCTGTAGTATGTCCTGAAATCTGGTATTGTGATGTCTCCAACTTTGTTTTTGTTGTACAAAATTGCTTTAGCTATTCGAGGTCTCTTGTACCTCCATATGAATTTCAGCATCATTTTTTCTAGATCTGAGAAGAAGGTCTTTGGTATCTTGATTGGTATCGCATTGAATGTATAAATTGTTTTTGGGAGAATGGACATTTGGATGATGTTGATTCTTCCAATCCATGAGCATGGAAGATTTTTCCATTTTTTGGTATCCTCTTCTATTTCTTTAAGATTTTGTAATTCTCATCGTAGAGATCTTTAAGTTCCTTGGTTAAGTTTATTCCAAGGTATTTGATTATTTTTGTAGCTCTTGTGAATGGGATTGATCTTAGAAGTTCTTTCTCTGGCCGGCGCCGCGGCTCACTAGGCTAATCCTCCACCTAGCGGTGCCGGCACACCCGGTTCTAGTCCCGGTCGGGGCGCCGGATTCTGTCCTGGTTGCCCCTCTTCCAGGCCAGCTCTCTGCTGTGGCCCGGGAGTGCAGTGGAGGATGGCCCAAGTCCTTGGGTCCTGCACCCCATGGGAGACCAGGAGAAGTACCTGGGTCCTGCCATTGGATCAGCGCGGTGTGCCGGCCGCTGCATGCTGGCCGCGGCGGCCATTGGAGGGTGAACCAACGGCAAAGGAAGACCTTTCTCTCTGTGTCTCTCTCTCACTGTCCACTCTGCCTGTCAAAAAAAAAAAAAAAAAAACAAAAAACAAAAAACAAAAAAGTTCTTTCTCAGCCATGGCATTGCCTGTGTATACAAAGGCTGTTGATTTTCGTGCATTGATTTTATATCCTGCTACTTTGCCAAACTCTTCTATGAGTTCCAGTAGTCTCTTAGTAGAGTGCTTTGGGTCCCCTAAGTAAAGAATCATATCGTCTGCAAAGAGGGATAGTTTGAGTTCTTCCTTCCCAATTTGTATCCCTTTAATTTCTTATTCTTGCCTAATAGCTCTGGCTAAAACTTCCAGAACTGTATTGAATAGCAGTGGTTAGAGTGGGCATCCCTGTCTGGTACCAGATCTCAGTGGAAATGCTTCCAGCTTTTCCCCATTCAATAGGATGCTGGCCATGGGTTTTTCATAAATTGCTTTCATTGTATTGAGGAATGTTCCTTCCCTACCCAGTTTGCTTAGAGTTTTCATCATGAAAGGATGTTGTATTTTATCAAATGCTTTCTCTGCATCTATTGAGATAATCATATGGTTTTTCTTCTGGAATCTGTTAATGTGGTGTATCACATTGATTGATTTGCAAATGTTGAACTATCCCTGCATACCAGGGATAAATCCCACTTGGTCTGGGTGGATGAGCTTTCTGATGTGTTGTTGCATTCTATTGGCCAGAATTTTATTGAGGACTTTTGTGTCTATGTTCATCAGGGATATTGGTCTGTAATTTTCTTTCAATGCTGCTGCTTTTTCCAGCCTAGGGATTAAGGTGATGCTGGCTTCATAGAAAGAATTTAGGAGGATTCCCTCTCTTTTGATTGTTCTGAATAGTTTGAGAAGAATTGGAGTTAGTTCTTTAAATGTCTGGTAGAATTCAGCAGTGAATCCATCTGTTCCTGGAGTTTTCTTTATTGGGAGGGCCTTTATTACTGTTTCAATTTCTGTCTCAGTTATGGGTCTTTTTAGGTTTTCTATGTCTTACTGGTTCAATTTAGGTAGGTTGCATGTGTCCAGGAATCTATCCATTTCTGATAGGTTTCCCTGTTTGCTGGCATACAAGTCCTTGTAGTAATTTCTGATGATTCTTTTTATTTCTGTGGTGTCTGTTATGTTTCCTTTTTCATTTCTGATTTTATTGATTTGGGTCTCTTCTTTTTTTAGTTAGTTGAGCCAATGGTGTGTCAGTTTTATTCATTTTTTCAAAAAACCAGCTCCTCGTTTGGCTGATTTTTTGTAATGTTTTTTTGGATTCAGTCCTGTTGATTTCTTCTGATTTTAATTCTTTCTTTTCTCCTACTAGATTTGGGTCTGGTTTGCTGCAGTTTTTCTAGATCCTTGAGATGCGTTGAAAGCTCATTTATTTGGTGCCTTTTTAATTTCTTGATGTAGACACCTTTTGATACAAACTTTCCTCTCAACACTGCTTTTGTTGTATCCCGTAAGTTTTGATATGTTGTGTTGTTATCCTT